AAAACAAGCAAATCGTTACAATTCAAATTCGTTCCATTAACCACTTGACCTGCAGGTTATGTATTTCCTACCAACATATAACATACATTAGCGGACGTACGAAACAATTGAAATATACAGCGTAATGTAATCACTCACGATATAGGCGGGGCCACGGCGACCAATAAAAGTGGGTTATTATTGCTAGCTTGCGTTTGAGTTTGCTCGTGCGCAGAATTCAGCACTGCGGCTACTCCGAAAAACGTCTTCCGAAGTTTCGAATGTTGCCAACTCGCTCACTCAAAGCTATATGCCAGCATGAGCGACCGTGACAGGTCGACCTGAAACTTCGTAAACAGCGTTTCAGAGTAGCCCCCCGCTATTTATCGATAGCAATTTGTGGCCAGAATTAGTTTAGAATGTGTGGGATATGATCTCAATGCACTAACTAAAACTAGTTTACATTTTATACGCAATTGCAAGGTTGATTAATAACTTTGAAATGAATTGAGTAGAACTAAGTAGTAGTTAAGCTTTTTATTTTTTTGCACTGTCCTTTTTAATTTGTCTCTATTTTAATTGAAATGGACTTGATGGAACGCGAAAGTTTAAAAAAATAATAAAGGTCGCCTTTTGTTATCTAAAAAACAGGAAATCCATGTGTAAATAATGGTACTTATCTTACTTATTGTATAAACCCAAAGGCATTAGTAACTTATTATACAGCTTTAAGTTATACAATACTAAGCACTGGTTATAATTGTTGAAGAATCTAACATACAGTTGACCAGTTTATATCGCATTGAAACCGCTTAAGTTATTTATAAATGCCTATCTGCGCTACCTGTCAGGCATTTCATAAATGATGTGAACAGTACAAGCAATGAAGAAAACTTGTGATCAAATACATTGGAATTATTCATCGATTTAAAGCTCTATTGCTTAGAAAAAAAGAAATTAATGCCATGAGACAACTGATGTTTGGGATATAAATAAAATAGAGTTACTGAAAGTGAATAAACGCAGAGAAAAAGTAGAGAATAAAAAAGAAATTGACGTTCCTTATAAGTGCATCCCTTTATTCCCTTTTCATTTAAAATTTTACTTTTAGTCTGTACAGTATTAGAAATGAAGCACGCTTTAAATAAAACTTTTTTTATTGTTAAAGTGAGTAAAATAAAATTAAACAAATTAAAAAACAAGTCTTGTTTTACCTAATTTTGAAAATTTCGGACCCTACTAAAAGGGTAAGTAAGGCCTGCTTGTGAAATGTTTTTTCTTGTTTTTTCTTGCGCAGTTTTTTTTATCATGACCGACTGTACAGTGCGCACTCAGATCATAGAAAGAGAATAGATATGAAGTCGCGCGTAACTACAACGAGAACCAGTGTCCCCACATTTCCCCCACCACAGCTCCCACACACACATTCAACTGTGTAAAAACAAAGCGACTGAGAGTCTACGACAACATGTGCAACCGGCTTAAAAGTGCTNTGGAAACTCCCGAATGCACATTCGGTTTCGGTCGTAGTTTCGGCAAGTTTGTCGCCGAAAACGAAACTAAACCGAAACTCGTGTTTTTACCGAAACTCAACCGAAAACGAAACCGAAACCGAACATTCGGTCGGACACTAAAGTTTTCACTTGATTGATTTGTTTATTTCATTAAAAATAAATTAATGATACTGCCAACCCTATCATGAGAGCGGGTAACATTTCCCCACTAATTGATATTTGCATCGGCTACTGGCTGCTGCACCGCTCGTTAGGGCCGCCATACGGAACCCGATTGCATGTTATTATGCCCGTGGGAAGTGCCACTTCGTAATTTTTTTAACTTAATTTAAGTGACAATTATAATTGGCAATTAACACGTGCTTATCTTTTCCAAACGCTTCCAGTTTTAACGGATGTACAATGTACAGCCGCACATAAAGGTGCTAACCTTATGTAGCTGGAATAGATGCGATTTCACAATAAATTGATAGTCTAAAGTGCGACTGTACTTTTACGAGTATGCGGATATACTTAAATTTATTAAGTGTTAAAAGTTGAAACAGTATCTTTATTAATTCAGCAATTTCACTCTCGGAAAAATCATTAAGGCTGAGTTGCACCACCTAACTTTGACCGTAACTATAACGATAACTGGTGTTTTTGTATGGTGTAGACTTTTGACGTTTGTCAAAGTTCAAGTTAGATGGTGCAACCAAGCCTTAGAAGGAATATAAAGCAATTTGATCATTTCAGTAATAATAACTTCGATGTTTAAATGACAAACAGCATAGAAAATACAAACTATTAATAGTACCTAACCAAACAGACATTTACAGCGCAATAAACACCTACTTACATACCTACTTAATACCTAAGTAAACACAATTACTGGGTAATTTAATACTGTTCATTATCAAATCAGATAAAACCATTTGAATAAGCATAGTGCTAATTCCGCGCGTTATTTACATACATTAGAATTTGCTGTCATATCTACTGATCCGGACAAATTGTGTAACGTATCACTAAATCTTTAAGGTGTTCCTTCACTTGAGCATTACATTGGTAAGGGAGGCGAACAGAGCATTACATCTAATGCGCAAATTGCCAATGTCTTCATACGTTTAATAAGACAATTTTGTTTTCTTTAAGACGAAGTTCTTTAAAGGTACTTTATGTATTTATTTAAACTTTTTGCACTAAAGATTAAACATTGGCGAGCTTAATGCCGGGTGCTATTCTCATGTCAGTCGGTCTTTCTTATCTACTTCATTGACATCATAATTATCTTCATACGACCAGTACAGGATGGATGGATCAAAATTGGCAATGTTACATTACATAGAATAAAAAAGCTCGTCTAGTCAGAGAGGCAGTTGTAATAATGCTCAAAATTGAATTTGGAGTATTACATTACAGACGAATGCTCCAGGTGTGGAAGCACCTTAAGTAACGTATCAGTAGAAATCTTTATGAAACAAGCTATTAGAGTTAGAAACACACGGAAATGTCTTTATCCGTAATGTTGTGGTAATTTTAATGGCATTCAATTAACATAGGTTACTGAAAGTAAAAGTTAAGTTTAATAGAGTTCCTTAACATAATATGATTAGGTAAGGTCATTTCTTGATTCTTTCTTTTGATGCAAAAAATCTTGCTGTGGTTAAAATGAAAGTTGGATGATTCAAATAAGTACATTGACCAAGTGGGTGGTAAAAGCCACCTACCAGTGCAATCCACCACCCCAGTGGCACAGATGAGATGCGATTATTTATTAAAGAAAAAAAAGTATTTCTGATCAGGGATGGCGAAGCGAGGGCGAAGCCGGAATTAAATGCTTGTATATTTCTTACACTGTGACTAATCATTTCACTTTCCGTAGTTCATTTAAGCATTAGATTGAGAAAATGCAAGAATATATATTTTTTCTTAACGGGTACTATAGTCTTTTTCACCTAAGATGATCCGTATGACGTTTCGAGTTTGAAAGATTTAGAGATGTCACATACTCTCAACTAAACCATAGCGATATATCTATCGNCAGTACGACTGAATCGCGACTAACCTGGCGTCGCGGGCGATGTTCGTTTCTGGGCATATCGCGGAGACACGCGCCACGCCCCCGTTTCACATCTATTCCCTTCTATGATCTGAGAGTGCGCACGATCACAAGCCCATATGACCATTTACGGTTGCTTTTAGTAAATCAATCATCTTGTATGTTTGATTTGAAGCATTACTCTCTGTAACAACGAGTATAAATATTACTTTGAGTTATAACATGTTGCCGTCATAATTTTTGTTGACACACATGACTGACATTGTGCTTACAAGTATCTAATCAATGAATCAATGATTTTAAATGATTTAATTATGTTTTTATCTGTTTAGTTTAGACCTTTCAGAAATTCAAATATTGTCAACAATAATGCCAGTTTGAGAATTAAGAGTTGTAAGCCTGTATAAGCCTGGTAAAATGATATTAATTTGTTACTTGATTGTACGTTTACAACAAATTAAATATTATTTAAATAAATAAATTATTGCGTGCGCATATTGGGGGCGCGCGCCGACCGTTCACTTTAAAATGAAGTAGTTAGTCATTATTATCTACTTAAATCTAAACAATTTAAATAAAGCATGGCTTCCTCAATCTTCGCCAATTACACCGCTACCAACTTGATTCCGTTCCACCTGGGGGTTGAATAAAAATAATCAGAAACACGTATTTATCATTTCGGTGAGCAGCTGCCCTTAATTGTGGAGATTTTCAAAATTTGCATTTCGAGTCGGCCCGTATCACGCAACTCGCGATAGGGGATCACTTATTGTTGAAGACTTGTTCCTTTTATTCGAATCGAATTAATACAATTCAAAAATAGAAATTGAGTGAGATCAGATTCAGATGACAGTTTATAAGTTTTTTTTTAATAAAACGTATGCAGCCAGGACATTCCGGTTGAAATACTAACGTGTGGGGAACCTATGATTATGACAGCTCTGAATTAAAAGACGAAATTAAAGTTTTTTAAATCTGAAAAGAACTACTATACTTACTTATTATAGCTAATACCTAGCCTTAAGAGAATTACCTACATAGGATGATAGGATCTAGCTAACTGCTAAGTTATTTTAATCATTGATAATCAGCATGTAATTAATATTCAGGCGAGATGCAAAGCACGCGCCGCTCAATTGTTAATGTGGTATGCAAGTGTTTAGAAAACTTTAACTATTTCCCGCGATCAGTATCTCAGCGTCTTCAATCGCCAGCCGGACAGCGAGAAACAATGTTGCTACAAAAATACCGAGATATGTATCAAACTGCAGTAGAAACTTCATATCGCTCGATTCTTCTTCGAAGTTTTTATATGGGCACGTGTTCGCGTACAGAAGACGGCTGTTTTCCGTGTATTTTCTGCTTGGTTGGCGAAGAGGGGCGCGGCGGGAGGGGGCCGGCCGGCAGATGCGCCACGCAGCGCCATCTAGCGGGGCTCGCACGCCAGGTGCGCCTGCCCGCACCGCGGCCGCCGCCCGCCGTCTCTTCAGTCCGCCGCCACGCGCATCCGTGAACACACGTCCTTACGGCCACCATACGCCGCTACACGCGACGCGCGCGTTTCGAACGTAGTGCACTCGCGACCGGTTCGCCGTAGCCGATGAGCAAACAGTGACATCTCGATTATTGTGCTGTGTGACTTACAGTGAAACGCTCAGTGTGTACTTGTGAGTGATGGATTACGGATCACACGAGTGCTGACGCCGGGCCTGGACCCGACGTATATGCCCCGGCGCCGCTAGCCCGGACGCGCCAGCATGCGCGCCCCCGCGGTGCTCATCGCCCTGCTAGGGTTTCTACCCCAGGTACTGATACTGACACCCAAAACCGCGAATCCCCGTGCTAACGTGCCGAATCGAAATCGCTAGTTCACATCAATAGTATAAACAACTTTGTAATGCAAGCCGGTGGCCGTAGGCGCGAGGCCGGTCTGCATTACACGACCGTCACTTTCCCACGAGCGCGCCGGGCTCAGCAGATTGTCCTGGATATACCTAGCCGGCCGAGGGTGTAGGTTAGGTGATCTCGCCATGAGTCGTGACCGGGCCCACTTCGCCGGACCGACTCGAAGATGCTTGTGTGTGTTCGTTTGCCGAGCAAACATAGCTAGAGAAGGTACATAGTTATAAAGAAAGTTCAGGTTTTAATACGGACGGCGCGCGGGGTCAGCTAGGTCGCGAGCCTCTTCGCTTTAAAATTAGATGCATTCCAAGGCTTGGTGGTGAAGTTGAGTCCGAAAGAGGCAAATCTGCGACGATGTGCATACTGCACGACGAGAATAACTCTTCCAGACGTCTCTGAAGGCGAGATATTTCGAGCAGGGTTAGTAGTTCGGTCTAGTTACACGACAGAACCCTTTTCGTGTTTATTGACCGTTGCTAATAGTCGGAAAATAGACTCCGAAAGCTCTAAAACTAGACGTAAATAAACAGTAACGTTCGAGTTAGGAGGCCGATAAAAATAAAAAGTTACAGTGTGTCGTGTTTTGCATGTGTCAAAGTGGAAATATGGCGAGATTTAAGGTCATTGCCCTATGATCCGGTCAAGGTTACCTAATCTGCGCTAAGGGCTACCGCACTCAAGTAGTTGGCTACTGAACTTTACCATCGTGCAAACTTGATTTTCAAAGCTTATTTCCATTTTCCATAAAAAATACTAAAACAAAATCCTCTCAAGTTCTAGAACTGTAAATCGATCAATCAAGTCGGTCCGAACAATCCATTGCACCGCTAAAGGCATTTGTTTATTTATATTACAAACAAGAACATCACACTAACATCTCAAATAGCAAACGCTCGCCGCATGATTCACTCAACATCGATACCTACATAGGTTGACTCGATACTTTCCCAATCGATTATGGAACCTGTGCATTGCCATTTCCTATCGGTCTATCTAGCATTCCAGCAACTCTAGCCCGAAATGTCAGCCACATCAACAACAGCCGGCAAAAAATCGATACTCAGATCGCGAGTTTTTGTTCTCCCGCGTCGTTCAATGGCAATTTGCGATGAGGGAACTATTCCCCGATGGCTGCGTGTGCGCACACTAAACGTATACTTATTTAAGCTCAAATGTACCGTTATTAACAAACACAAATGCAGTCGGGGCGAATTAAAAAACTTGTTTGTCGGGAATCGATCCGCGGATCTGGCTCATCCGTGTGATTTTTGTGCACTTTGTTGTGAATGGCATGTTTACTTAATCGTTTTTGAACACAGACCAATTAAACTCCGGACCAAGTGCTCACACTGCTGTGTATCTCGTATAGGTACTTATTTATAGTTTGCGTGTGTCTGCGTGCGAGTGAGTTTTCAAGGAGGCGCTATAATACATTATGAATGAAGTCTCGATACTCCATAAAAAAACGGTATTTTGCGCGGACTGGTTTCCGATGCCCCCGGTCCCTACGTGACGATCGCCGTGCATTGATGTAATTGTCCACCGATCGGTCAACCCGCCTCTTTATCCTCGGTACATCCGCAGCACTTTTATTATTTTTAACCCCCACGTGCAAACGCCAGTATCATCTACTTAACTCTTTCTCAGATCGCGTTCGAAATACAAAATTGCGTGATCGCTCGACCGTCGATCGGAAGCGGCGTAGGAAACACGTCTGCCCCAAAACCGCAGTAATAATTTCCAATTTAGAATAAATAATTCACTGAAGGCTGCTTTTGTTCGATCGTGACGTGTTCATCCCTAAGAAATTAAGGAAAAACGGTTTAAAACGTTGCATCCTTAACCCGTAAATGGTCGGTTGGTATTTTTTGCAATATTGCACTATTTATCGAATAGAATGTTGCATTGATTGAGTGCGCCGGCGTCTACCTGTCGCATATCTAGGACATAGCATGTCATAGCTAGCTCGGAACGTTAAGTGTAGTGCGTGTATGTTGCGTTATGATTTGTGATATAATCGATTTGTGTTTAGTTATCGATAAGTCGACGTGAATGTGTGTCGCCACTCGCTGGTGCGCATAGCTCTGTGGCAGGTGCGAATAATTAATGCCAACTCTTAAGAACGACATCTGCTTTTTCGCAATTTACTCGCGCACACGAATTCTAATTGCCCTCATAATGATTTAAGTCTCAATTCAGGATTGCGAGTTCGTTGTCACAGGCAGTGGCTACCTGTTTAATAGCTATTTTACTACCCAAAGCGCCATTAGTTAGTACTGTTATAATATTAGGCAACAAAAAAACAAAATTAAAAGGCGGATGTACGCGAATGCTAGTATTAATAAAAGATTCCATAAATATACTAGTTTTTTTTGTAACAACTTACGTCATCGTCGGATTTAATAAAGAGAATAATTGATCGTGGTCGACTTTAACAGTGTCTCTCCCACAATTGTTCAGCATTGTTACAGAAAGTCGGGTATATTTTCTTCAAAGACAGCCTTATTTCCTTGGGTGAGACATAAAGTATGTTTAAATACCTGACAAGCCGTACATGGCACAATAGCGCAGTTTCACTTCATTTTCTCAAGAATGACACTGAACAGTTAAAATTGCCGAAAACCGCCCGCAGAGTGGAAACGTTATTCCAGAGTTTAGCAGCACGAATTTTCACAATAGCGCAATAATAATTAATCATCATATGACATGTTAGTAGCAATGAGCGTTTAAGTATGTGAAACCCTAACGGTGAGCCTGTTATAATTTCGTCCATTGTCCAAAAGGTTTTGTTCTATGAGAACCGACTCAATTATAAAGTCTGTACGAAATCCGTATAATCGTCGGTTTTTAACAGCTTAACTATGAGAAACAGTATTTTCGTCTCATTGTGGAATGTAATGGTAGCGAAGCGATCGCGCCTGTCTATGCTTGCATCTGTGACAACTTTGACAAATGACGTATTCATTATGCCGCCTCATGGCACCGTCCCATTGTTCGACGCTGCCGATAACCATTTCTTTCACTCGACATTTTCTTCTTAACACCGGACGTCGATACATTTTCTTTCAATTCCGACCGGACATTAATTGCATCCCGATGCAACGAAAAAAACATGGCCGCCAGGATCATTGATCAGATTACGCAATGTCGCCAAACTGGATGCTCAGGGAAGACGAACGTTTAATGTTTAATTTATAAAGACGTCATGCTCATCATCATTTTACCGCGTAGTAATTAGGAGTTCTAAGTATCGGTATCGGCCCCATTAATACCTAATACACTCGATTTATACCACCACAGCATTTTAGGGTTAATCCAGTCGATATTTCGTAATGGGCAATTATGCGAATCCGATTCTAACCTTCTAATTTAAGGTTCTATTGTTTAGTGTTGCCAGTGTAATTTATTAAATTCCGAATTGGGTAAATGTGTCAGTTATGTTAGCGAGCGTGGGTTGCTCAATGTTTCAGGCATAGTTGTGAGATGAGTAGAGCCTCTTTGCTCGTAGGTTGAAAGTTAAGGCCGAAAGTTGACAGTTATGAATACTAAACACTTGATGTGCGAACTAAAACGGCGTGGGTGGCACTTAAAATAATGACGAACTATTAATTACACCGTCTGCTTAAATACTCGTACACACACTTTAATTTGATACTTATTAAAATTAGTTTTGAAGGCCCTAAAAGCTGATAATCAACTTCGAAACTTGGTCAGACTCGTACTCGTATCGCGATCGGAAATACTTAACATTCCGTTCCACGTAAAAACGTATATTTATTTTCACATGAAACTGGGTCTATTCATCGTTTCCCCATTCGTAATTCTAGCTCATATGTTGCCAGTGTTTATTTCATAACGTTACAGCGAGTTGCACCGCAATGCATTCAAACTAATTTGATGTAATCGCGAAGTCAAGTCTTACCAATGCAATTTCATTTCAATTTATCTGAGCATGAATCTTGCTGTCCATACATAATCAGTGGATTGATTTAGGTGACGCGTTACGCCGACCGTGTGATACGAAAGTATTTTAATAAGTTCCGTATTGGATCCCGGAGCGTCACACGTACATAATCCTAACAACAATTCAGGCAAGAAGATCTGGTTTGCGATAGGTGTACACGAGTCGTCTCGTAGCGCGGTACACCAACGCACGAAATCTCAATTCGCTTGTGCAACACGCTTAAATAACCGCAAAATACCTTATTATGCGCTTTCCATATACGTTCCAGGCAATCTACGGGCTCTATTACGCTCCACGCTCATGATTCTCCGTTAATTTCGAATTCCTGAATCGTATGTTTCTTTTACAAAGCGCAGCTGCCAGCGAAATTAACAAAGAGATCGCAACTTTTGTCGCTAACGCCGAATTTCGTTTTGTTCCCTTTAAGACGAGTGTCCTTTTAAGACATTCTTTGAAACGGGACGCTCTTTGTTGCCGGCCCGACTTGCGTCCCCTTACACAATAGGTAACTCTACTTGAAAAGTTCCCTGAAGTTAGGTCAGAGAAGCAATTAGCAGCGCTCGCGTCAGCTGTGGCTAAAGGACAAAATTAATAGTTTTTTTCTCGGCCAACCAATTTGATCTCGAGTTCGCTATTTTTATCCATCACCATCTTTATGGCATGTGTACGAATGCGTAACGGCGAGATACCTACAAACGGCTGGAAAAAAAAGATCACGCCTTCGTCATTCCAAAATTAAATTTTCGAATTGCGAATTTGATGCAGTGGCCACATCGTCGCGCTATTAAAAGACTGTTTGGATGTTTATTTTAACACATTTCGCGTGTGTACTTATAACGGCTGAGATGAAAAACATTCCCCTGCGTTTCATTATTTGAGTTATTTTTAGACTGCGCTCAACCTGCGGACTGGAACGTGTTTACTCTGTTGGCTTACTTACATACAATGGTGTTCACATTATTACTCCTTATTATCAGCAGCAATAAATGTGCCTAACGTGAAATATCTCCCATAACCTCTAAAGTGCGCGAGATGAAATCCCATGGTAATGCGCGATAGATCATTTTGACACAGCAATTCTTTTAAAAAATATGTCTAGATCGTGAGCATAGTCAGATGCAATTAAATTGAAAAAAGAATTAATGTAACACGATATATTTGAAATGGTGTTGCGAGATCGACGATTAGGTACTCAAATCAATTTGGACGGTTTTTTGGGGCCTGCGCCGGAGCAATTAATGTTACATGCCAGTGTAGCTTTCCTTACGAAACAAAAAAGGAGTTTTGATCTTCACGACTCATGCGTCGAATACAGACCTTAATGTTGCTCACAATTGAATGTAAACACTTTGCTTTGATGAGTCGTAATGGTCCAAAAAGTAGAGTAAATCGATTAATAATGTTCACGAATGCCCGTCAATTCGTTATTAGAGATTTGTAATACCGAAAGTTAAGCCTGCAACAAAAAAATCGTTGATGCAGTTCTAAGTACCGCCAAAGAGGTTTATTACAATAAATTATCAATTACATCAGCGACAGTTGGTCGTAAAGCTTAACGCCTTCTTAAGGCTCTGAACAACATTAATCAGCCAGTCAACGCGTCAAATCGCCCGGAGATATTATAAACACAACTTATCCGGTAGTCCGTAAGTATTATTTAATTGTTAGTTTGTGGACGGCCCGAGGCAGAAGACCCGGAATGGGCCCAACACGCGACCATCTTTAGCCCCAACCGAGCTACTATAGCTGCTCATTAGCCTTTGACCATTTACGGGTTAACCGACTTTATTTTAGGACGCTATAAAATTATTCCTAAAAGCTCTTAATTATAAACAATGCCCCCGAACAGTAAGCCGCAATTCATCACAATCCGTGCTACTATAACTCCTTTTATAAACAATACATCAACAAAAAAGGGGATGTTTAGAGTGTCCGTATCTTTTTTGAAGCATTTTTTTGGTTCCGCTCCTACCTGGCGTCTAGTGGATATGCACACGTCCTGCTCATCCTTATGGTGCAGGATAGAGATGCAACGTTGTTTTTCGCGTTTAAATTCGAGTAAGTGAGTTCAACCCTGCGATAGGCAGGAAGTCAGTAGAAATCTGGTGTGCTTTTTACCTTGGTTTGTTTAAACTGGGGTTGATTTTTGACATACAGACTCGCCGTCTGCGCGAGAGATAAGCCCGCCTTGAATGGCTCATTGTTTCATTTCTCTCGTTTGTAAACTTTTGACAGCAAGATAAGCTCAGACGTGGGAACTTTTAATTGTTCAACGATCAATTTTCGCTTAAAAACCTGTATAATGGGTACATTAACGCCGATATCTTTTACAGTCTTAGCCACGATTAACGATTCAATCCACGCAAAGTTTAATGAGGGCCATACCGAGGTTTATGAATGAAATTTATTATGGTGCAGCCCAGTAAATAATGTAATCAATTGTATCGAAAGTGCGCAGGAAACGATTTATTTTTTGTCGTCGCCACACTCACACGTACACTGTTATTATAGACGGTAATGATTTGCCAAGACATGCCCGCCATAACTTAATACCTACCACTTCCTTCCGATGCCGTATAAATAACGTGTTCCTTTAACACAAGCCCTAAAAATAATGAGCGACATTTTTAATATTCTCCAATTTTAAATACCTCACAGTAAAAACATAAAGTTGCTTATTATTCAGAAAATGCTCACGCGCATTCCCTTATGCATTAGCTTTGAAACTAGTTGACCCCGCATACAATGCGACCAACTGCACATTCTTTCATTAATACAAGGGTTGTGCCACCCTGGAGGGCAACAAAAAACGAGTTATTATTATTCATAGCTGACGAAAAAACACGGAGAATTCCAGTCGTTAACTTGACGACTGCGTATCTATCATCACGAATCGATTCTATCAAAATCAGTAGTCCTGGCAACATAGACAAAAACTAATCGTTTAAAACTACCCGGGGGCGCCAATTTTTGACAGTTCTAAATATGAAAAATAAAAATAAACGTGATCAATATGGAACGAACTGTGCGTTCGAATTTTAATTCAGGTTAGGGGTGTCGTCGAGTACAGTCACCCCACATGTGCTCGCAACCCCATTTTTGTACGACCTACATAAACTATGTCCAGTAAAACCGTTAATGTCTCAACGGGATCGATCGCATGGACAGTTGTGCAAATAGTTTGTTTGAGGATTATATCTTGGGGGTGTCAGAAACTTTAGAAGCTAAGCTGTTTGTATTGTCCCATTGACATTGATAAATTGACTGAAGCTGACAAGATTGTGTGTTCAGTATACTAATACGAATTTTTTCTTTTCAGGTGCTGACGTCTGGTTCATTCGAACTTAGGATAAAAAGTTTTACGAACTCGTTGGGTAGGTTAAGTAGTGGCCAGTGCTGTGATGGTTCCTCAAGTAGTGATGCGCCGTGTTTGGCGCCGTGCAGGACTAAATTCCGCGTGTGCCTCAAGATTTATCAAGCGAATATTGATACAACATCACCGTGTACGTTTGGTGACATTACGACACCAGTGTTGGGTGGAAACTCATTGGATGTGCCGAACCTCAACGTGGAGGGGTTTAGTAATCCCATCGTCTTTCCCTTCGACTTCACATGGCCGGTGAGTACTTCAACATTTCATGTTAACACATAATTGCGTAAACAAAACAACACCTCATTAATTTTGTAGGCATAAAATCAATACATCGTAAAAGAAGCATTAAGTAGCAACCCTACATCAATAAATCAACGCCATCGATGTTACCAACATTCAAATTCCAATAATCCACGAGGCCAGTGTGAGGCATCCCATTCGTAAAAAAGAAATTAAGGGATTCGATATTCAAATTTGACAGAAGCGATGACGATAAGAATAGGTACTTGATGATTTAACGAGCGGCCGCGTGGGACGATTACAGCGTTCTATGGTTCATTTTTAATTAATTATGAAGTCGCGTTGTGTACGGCCAGTCGTGTGTTATTAGAGGCAGTGTCTAACCTTCGATCATCTTCACCGCGATTAGAGCGCAGAGGCCGAAATCGTGATTCGATAATGTAATTATTTACAGGCCTACTTCATTTATTTACAGATCGCGTTTAGATCTCGACTCCAAGGATAACGGACGCCTTAATTGGGGCTTAGTTACGGTTATTTCGCTGGCGTGAATTGTCTATGGTTTACACAGACTCGTGTGGACACTCGAGGTTTCGAGGGCTGTTTGTATTTTGTTTAGCGGCCCGCTTCAAATGTCGTACCGTCTCGTAATGTTTGAGCAAACAATCGCTCCTAAGCGCTGCTTGCACAAGCTGAACCATCTGGGGAAACGTGGCATTTGCTAACCAAACGAAACTGCAGGTAGGAATTTGTGAATTGGAAGAATTTCCAAACTTTTTCGGATCATAGACGCATCCTGCTGTCGGCGGATCGTTCCAAATGAATTGGCACTAAATGGAAACTTCCTGCTGAAGTACACATAGCTGGCATATGTTGATTGTTGACATGCGATCAATTGAGCGAAAGTGACGCAAAATAAAAAATAATCCTGTCTATCGAATTTCTAACGTTGATAAGTTGATCTGGGTATCGACACTGACAGATAATTCACGCCATATGCAGTTCATCTCTTCCTCATCTCCCAACTGCCATTTCCCATATGCCGCGGTGAGATCTTGATACTTTAAGGATTCACTCCGCCATATGTTTAGACAAAACTTTTGTCTTTAGTCCACCCCAGTTTATTGTCTAGCTTGTGATGTTTTCTCACAATGAGGTCATCGGCTTGCGAAGTGCTTGTTCTCCGAGCCATAGCGCTCTCAAGAAATTAAATGTACGCGCGTAATTTATTTCGACGTAGGTATTTCAAACGGTCGTAGGTACGACCGTATCGAATCGCTTTTGAATTAAAAGGAACGTTCGATTTTCGAATTCAGTTTACTCATTGAGATGTGTAGGTAGATGGACAGCATCACAATATTATGAAACTGGACGCCTTCCCGCGGCCCGCTAACGGTCGCGTTCGAATTACAATCCTCGAGTAATTTAAAACGCAACTGCATCCGAACTTTTTTATCTGATCGGTCATGAAATAAATCGGTGCTAGACCATGCACGTACAGATTTGACCCCCCGATAGTAGGTCATGAGCATATTAATATTACTGACAACATCGAACAGTAAAATTACAAGTAAACCGGCGTGCACGTTAACGACGCATAGAAACCATTTATCATACAGCGTTTAAGAAAAGAGATGGCTCACTCCAAAAAGAAATCTCATTTGTATTCAGTCGCTTACGAACCGGCGTGCTTTCATTTATTTTACTCTTAAACAATTTGTGTTTGTAAATCACAAGTTTATATTGTAATGGACCGTTAGCCCGTCCGGATGTCACAAAGGTGAGAAGCATTATATTAGGCCTCGCACGTACTTGTTAAGAGCATGTTTAAATTGTACGATGGAGAAAGGTTAATGATACTGGGGGGTAATTGCGCCCCGGCCGGGGTACTGTTACACCCCACGTGACGGCCCATTCAACTTTGAACCGTTACACGTTTTATTGCGAAAAAATGTAGTTGCACTTATGCAATTGGTCGGAATTGTGGGACACCTGCTATGAGAGTGCGCAAATGTCAAAGTGTGCTTCCGCGCATGCTCGCTCCTGCGGCCGTGAACTATACTTTTTATGGTTTCTGAGATCCGTATTGCGTTTAGCTCATCCATCCTATTGTAGTCTTATCTCGACGAATTTGTTACGGCAAGAAATAAAATTAGCAACATGCCCGGTCAAGCTGTTTAATTTTTTTATTGTCTGCTGTAACATGGTGTCATTTCCGTATGTGAGTCATCATTTCATCATGGTTAATATGGTTATCTACCTATCTTTTAAAATAACGTGGCTTGTTAATATTTGTCGCGAAATAATAAATCGGTGTTGTCAAAATTAACACCATTGAATGAAAAAGGAAATGAAAACCAAAGTCATCGTGTTAACAAAACGACCCTAAAGCTCTTATTCATCATCCAATCCCATTCTTGTAACTCTAACCCCATTCATAAGAAAGAACGCAGAAGTAATCGTGTTTTTAACTTACTCGTACCTACGTAACTATATTAAGAAATACTACATGTCATTTCATCCAAGAACTTTATTTCCCAAATTCTTGATGAAGATGTTTATTCACGCATGTCAAACTTTCCGTACCCCAAGACAGGTAAAGATCGGCGTACGAATACGTCCCTAACAAAATAAGTAGTTACAGCAAGTCACTTTCCCACAGACAACAAAAACAAGATACCACCAGCGACAGATTAAGGACGCACGGAATTTCAATTACATTTGTAGAACACTCGCACCTTTTCGAAACGCAGGTATTATAACCACAGATTAAAAATAATAACGTCTAAAAAACCGCGCGAAATGTGTCTTTTCTTTCTCACCCCCCTTTTTTCGTCGACATAAAAACTGACAAAAGCCTTAATGCTTTTATTAAATTAATTAGCAAATCCTAATTATACACTGTAATGAAGCTTTTATAGTCCACATCTGAGGTCTAAACAATTGAATCTAAAAAAGCTACTGTACTAATTAATCTAAAATTCTAGAAAACAACCAATTTCCTAGATACGCAGCGAGCTACAACGCAACAAAGTTTGCTCGTTACCGTGTGAGTTGAAAACCCGACATTTTTCAACTTAATTAAGGTTAATTAAGTCACGAACTTAACATAGTTATGGTCATATTTTGTATCTTATACTTATTGTGGGGCAGCAGCGAAGCGAAGAAAGTTCACAGCGTTTATAATGCTCTAAAAATTCTTCAACGCTAAATGAGCTTAAGCTTACATTCTGGTTAATTTAATTCCAGTTTCACGATTTGTATGCAAGATTAATTTACTTCTTCATTACTAGTATTTTCCTGGTTTTTTTCAAATCAGCCTGTCATGTAACTTTGGAAATTAATGCGTTGTGTCCTGTTTAGTATTCCGAGTTCTAACCTCACAAAAAGTCAGTACCTACCTGATTAATGTATTTGTGTCGTTTAGTGAAGAAACACGCATCTTTATTGTAGAACAAGTAGACTAAGCAACAGCGTAACTAATTCGAGAGATTGTTAGTTATTTTGCATGTTTCGTAAATAGTTTCACGCTCTAAATAGTGGTATTTAAATGAAAGTATGGAAACTCCTTGGTCTGCGTATGAGTGATGCGGCCAGTCGCCCGCCATTAATAAATAAAAAATGTAACCTTCGCCGGTAGCGTTCGTGGAAGATAGCGTTTCGGTGACGTCACGTTCGATTCGAATTTCAAAACAAGAGTACGGTAAAGCACGCTCGTCTGCCGTTCTTGAGCCATTGTCGCGCGTGTGAACGTCATTTCTTTCCCCTCTAGCGGCTTCTCCATTAGAAAGTAATTAACCGCCCGTATCACGTCGCGTAAAAACTCACACCTTCACGAAATCGAACACGAAACTCGTCTCTAGGGCGCCAAATCGGCCATAATTATGTTCGAATTGTAATCGGCTGCACGCTTCGCATTGTTATTCGGCCGGCGAACGCCTCATTATATAAGTTTCCACTTCGGAAAACGTAAATAAAACCTTCGCACGGATCATCGACTTATTACTTCATACTGTAACACGATACGTTCCCGGGACGCTTTATAAACCATCGAGGTGGCTTCCGTCTACGAAGTTTTTGTATAGTGGAGAGAGCTCTTAGTAATTTCCTTTATTTCAATCCGCTCGCGCCGAGATCCTCTTAAAATACTTACCCCTACATCCGCTTCTTTTAATAAAGTCTACCGAAGCTATGGAATGCCCATACGACGTTGTTCCCTCTTCGACAGCGTCTTTTATCTCTCTCCTTTCCGACGAGCGGCAATTAATGTCGAACAAAAAAGAATCGCGAAATAATTCCCCGTAACAGTTTGAGGCATGACAGCCAGCGCCATTACAATACCACTTGTAAACCGATTTCATAAGTCTCAAATTTAAATAATCGGAGCGTGTATAATTGCATTGCATTGTTCAAAGCCAGTGCGCAGGTATTCGGCAACCTATCAATTAGCGCCCGGGTTTTCTAGTAAATCCGCCTAAATAAACTTATTACCGCACAATAATTTTCAAGTGCCGACTTCCCGGGTGCTAAAACAACAATGAAACGAAATCCGAGATCTTAAATAACGATTAGTCATAGACGAGATAAAGAAAATAAGCTCATCAACGCAGTGAATAGACAATAAAGTTTACCGGTCTTGTTATTACAACGCCTCGAGGCGGCCGCTAAAGAAAACACTCCTTTTTCCGATGGACGCTCGTTTACGGTCAGATTCTGACATTTTAACTGCGAGTCTCTAACATTTATGACCGCTAATAAAATTGTTCAAAGAGACCGATTTATGGTAGCTGAAAAGTAATTTGCACTCATTTTTGGTGGCCAGTGAAACAAATGACGGTCAAAATAGAACGACGTCAATCAAAATTCAAATTAGGAATTCGGTCTGACTCGCGCGTCTAATCCTTCTCTATTTTGGGCCGCGTTCCATTTTTATTGGTTTCCGAGTCGCAGCGAGTTCTCACGTAGAGCGAGGGCGAGAGTAGCCCTCAAATCTGCAATGATGAAAT